TCAGTCACTGAGTTATATTCGCCCATAGCACAAGAAAAAAGAGGAAGAAGAAGAGCAAACTTGTTGCTGCAGTTTGTGGGGGGGGGTTCTACTGGAGAGAATTGTCTTAGAATTGACCGAATTGGAAACTAAAGTAGATGACTATACATAGATTGCGTGTGCAAAGTTTGGTTTATGTAGCTTTTGAAATGTAGACGGTATTGACGAAATTCGGTAGAGGAGGAAGGAGGGGAAAATTAAAAAAAATAAATAAACTCGTCCTTTCTCGGACCTAGGAGAATCTGGATACCAACTTTGGTTATTCTACTTTAGTCTCTGAGATCCTTGCGTTCATCCAGACGGACGGACATGTCTAGATCGATTTCTCTCGTCATGCTGATTCAGATATATACTTTATGGGGTCGGAGATGCTTCCTTCTGCATGTTCCATACTTTGCACAAACCTAATAGTATACCCTTTTTACACTACGGGTGCAGGGTATACAAATTTAATTAATTTTATGAAATATAAAATATTTAACACATGCATACACACATAAGTGTTTATGTACAATTTCAACAGCATACATTTACATCAGAATCGTGTCTATGCGTGCTTGTATGCAGAAATAAGTCAAAGCAGCAACAACAACAACAGCTGCCGGCAGAGCTTCAGCAAAGAATATATTTATGACTATAACTTTCTTCTTAATTGACCTATCATGATGAATGGCATACAGGCATATAATCACTATCTGGAGTTATTTGCCAAACCTGAGTACAAAATTCCAAAAATACGGGAGTTATGGAATAAACATGAATTTCGGGAGAGTGGGGGGATGCATCAGAAAAAATAAACAAACTTGATCTGCTTAGGGCTCAGGAGAACATGAATACGAAGTTCGATTATTCTAGCTCTTGTACTTTCTGAGGTCCCTGCGTTCATACAGACAGACGGACATGGCTATATATACTCCTTTCTCATACTGTTCAATAATATATATATTTTTTGGGGTCTGCCAAGCCTCCTTCTGTATGTTACATACATTCGCACAAAACTAGTGAAAATTTATATGATTTTATATAAATTGTATGAAAACGAAGAAAGATTGGGACGCTTGCTTTTAACTTTAACTTTAATATAGAAAACTTTATATAAAATGACGAAACGATGCGGTGGCGATTGTGCTTCTATTTAGTTCTATTTTACAACTAACTTCAAAATTCGGCTTACATGCTAAACTAAGCCTAAGGCGGCGAAAAAAGGGCGCGAGGCGACGTCCGCAAACGGCCGCTCTCGCGCTCTCTTTTCGCCCTAAACTAAAATTTAAATATTTCTTTTAAACTATCCTAATCTAAAACAGCATCTGCGCCAACAACTAGTATAAGCGTTTACCATTTGGGTACAGGGTACAAAAACCACTGCGAAATATATGGTAACTGTCGATGTCGACACAGCAAACTAAATGGAGCAACAGGTATTTTAATTTTTTGTTGCTCCCGACCCAGATCATAATTCCAAGGTTGAGAAAGAGCTAAACAATTTGCGCTCTGTCAAGTTGCTTCACACACACTTTGAATATTTAATCAACCGTTCAGACTTAAATATCTTTTTCCATAATACACAAAGTATTCACTGTCATATTGAAAACACTCGTTCTAACAAGCTTATGCTTCGGTCTTCAATTTAATGTTTTGTTGAGACTTCAACGTACTCCAATGAAGTATATGATATACCTGGTTTTACTATAGAAGAACGTTTAGATGTCGAACGACAATCAAGTAGAACGCGATCGAAAAGAGGCATCCTTATACATATTTATCAAAAAAGAAATATTCGATGATTGTAATATTTCCGGCTCGGCTGTATTCGAGTATGCCGGGTATAAATATAAATCTATTGAATTCCTAGTAATACAAGTATATAAATCTCCGTCCTACTCATTGCATAAATTTTGAACATAATTTGAGAGCTTATTTCGACAGCACACATTTATAAATAGCAAGTCTGTAGTATTAGGAGATTTTAATTTGTGCCTTTCTAGATCTCATGATTACAGGGCCTAAAAATTCTTATTATGAAATAATTTCAGTTCCTCACTTGATTTGATATCACCTACGGCCAGTTATAACACACATATTGATTGGTCATTTTCAAATATTTTAGACAACAGGCTCATTGCAAAAACTTTCAATACGGTGTTCAGTTACATAATGAACAAGTAAAAAAGCTAAAGTCGGGTGTCCCGACTTTGAAATACTCTGTACATATGCTTAGAATAATGATAGAAATTAAAAAAATTAAGAGAATTAAAAAAACAAGTAGAGAAGCTAAAGTCGGGTATCCCGACTTTGAAATACTCTGAACATATGTGTAGAATAATTATGCGTGTATGTGTGTATTTGTTTGTGTCTGTGTATGTCTCTTGTGCCTGAGCAAAGCAGTAACAACAACAACAGCTGCGGGCACTACTTGGTCTTATGTACATATATGGCTATAACTTCCTGTTAAATCGGCATATCACATCATGATCTTGGCATTTCGACTTATAATACCTAAACTAATCCAAAAAAATAAAACAAACACATAACGCATCTTTGTGCTAAATTTGGTGTCTCTACCTCTTATAGTCTCTGAGATCCAGGTGTTCATACGGACAGACAGACAGGGCTAGATCGACTCGTCTTGTCATGCTGATCAAGAATATATATACTTTGTGGGGTCTGCCTCGCCTTCTTCTGCCTGTTACATTTTCAGCTCCCGCAAACCTAATATACTCTTGTACATTTTATGTACAGAGTATAAACAGCTGCGGGCAGCCCTGGAGCATCAAATTTATTTATAGCTATAACTTCTTGTTAAATCGGTCTATCGTGATAACTTGGCATACGGACACATAATGACTAACTGGGGGTATTTGCAAAATTTGAGTTCAAAATTCCAAGAATTACGGGAGTTAGAGAAAATCGAATGGGAGAGGGGGAGAGGGAAATTCCAAAATACACATTAATACACTAGTTTTATGCGAATGTATGTAACACACAGAAGGAGGCGTTGCAGACCCCACAAAGCATATATATTCATTATCAGGGTGACAAGCCGAGTCGATATAGCCATGTCCGTCCGTCCGTCTGTATGAGCACAAGGATCTCAGAAGGTACAAGAGTTAGAGTTACCAAGTATTCAGGTGCCCATTAGCTCTAGGCGGGTCAAGTTTGTTTTTTTATTTTGATACACCCCCCCACTTCCCCCCTATGGGGGGTTTTCCGATTTTCCATTCGTATAATCTCGGCGACTATAAGACCTAGGAACACCAAATTTTTTGTCCAAGATGCCTTATGTGAATACGCAGAAATTGTGTATTTTGGAATTTCCCTCCCTCCCCCCTCTCCCATTCGATTTTCTCTAACTCCCGTAATTCTTGGAATTCCGAACTAAAATTTTGCAAATACCCCCAGTTAGTAATTATGTGTGTATGTTTGCCTAGTTTCATCATGATTTAATGATTTAACAAGAAGTTATAGCCATAAATATATTTGCTGCTGCAGCGCTGCTCAAGCGCTTACCCGCGGCTGTTGTTGATTCTGGTGCTTTGGTTGACTGCGAACATACTTACATACAGACACGAATATACGAGCATAAAGATACATACACTCAAATAGACGCAATTGCTTTGTGTACGTGCAATTAAACACCCTTTACGTGAGTTCGAATACCAAAAGAGGTAAAATCTATCAAAAATTGTTTTGTTAATTTTCTTACTTTTTTAAATTTCTATAATTATTTTAAACATATGTACAGAGTGATTCGGAGTCGGGACACCCGACTTCAGCTTTTTTACTTGTTTTAAAAACATCAATGTTTTATTCCCGGTGGTCGATGTCCTTTATAACTTGTCCCTCACTGATTTTTTATTATACCCTGTACCCGTAGGGTAAAAAGGGTATATTAGGTTTGTGCAAAGAATGTAATATGCAGAAGGAAGCATCTCCGACCCCATAAAGTATATATATTCTGAATCAGCATGACGAGAGAAATCGATCTAGACATGTCCGTCCGTCTGTCCGTCTGGATGAACGCAAGGATCTCAGAAACTATAAAAGCTAGAATAACCAAAGTTGGCATCCAGATTCTCCTAGGTCCGAGAAAGGACGAGTTTATTTTATTTTTTTTAATTTTCCCCCCCTTCCCCCGCTACAGAATTTCGTCAATAGCTTCCACATTTCAAATGCTACCTAAACCAAACTTTACATACATAATTTATATACAATTGTCTACTGTTGTTCATTTTCAATTTTCAATTTTATTCAATTTGGTCAATTCTAAGAAAAGTTATTAGCAAAACAAATTCTCTCCAGTACAACCCCCCCCCAAACTGCAGCAACAAGTTCGCTCTTCTTCTTTCTCTTTTTGCTGCTGCTATGGGCGCATATAACTCAGTGACGGAAGTTTACCTGGGTACAGGGTATTACACTGTCGGGCTTGCTCGACTGTAGCGTTCTCTCTTGTTTTTGTATGTTATACTTTCTTTGGTTTTTGTTATATTCCGTGAATTTGTGAAAATATCGTTTGTTTTGCATCATTTTGTATTTAATAGAAACAATTAACTTTATAAATAAGATAACAAGTCAAAATGAAGTGCTCCATTTATAGGCATCAATAAAATCTTATTAATCTTACTATTGCGTTGTCCAGATAGCGTGGATTGATGTGTTTGTTTGGTGGTTAAATGACTACGACGTTAAAGGCATGTGCTTAGGAAAGTATTTCGAGAGGAGAAATACCAGTTAGGGTCATGGTCTCGCCATGAGTGGGGCTCGAACCCACGACCCACGACAAGCAGGAGCTTGGTATGCTCGTGCGCTATCCAATACGCCACCGCGGCCACCTGTTTACAAATTAAAACATTCAAATTTTAAGCTGAAGTTGCCTGTAATTTTAAAGATATCAGTATTGAAACAAGCAATAACTTGGTTTTATATTTTATATTAAAGTTTTTAAAACTATTTATAAATTTCAGGAAGTGAAGGCAAACATCACTTCAACAACTGCTCGATTTACAGTTTCATCTTTGGCACCCGGTAATCTTTATACTTTGTTAATTACTGCATATAACTCTAAAGGCAAATCGGATCCAACCATTCTTACGGCAGCAATGCTTCGAATGCCTGAAAAACAACTAACCTCAGAACAAAGTAAGTAAAAAACTATTTCCAAAATGTAAGCATACATACGTATAGTTTGTATTAGTATGTTTTGTTGAACGACGTCGGACGTCGCTCCGCCGTGTAACAAATTTAAAGTGCAATTAACACCAATTTAATTCGCGAAAAGACGCTTAGGGTACGCATGAGCACCTGTGCTCGTGTTACCCATATAAATTATCTGTTAAAGGGTGGAATATTGCTTAAAATAAAGCAATGCTGTTGAGTAAGAGCACAAGCTCGGTAAACACCAAAGAAAAAATGAGCAAAACTCGTGCTCAGCAGCAACAACAACAACACGACCGTCGACTTTCGGCTGTTCGTACCAACAACGCATACTTCACCATACGCTCACCAGAGGTAATGGCACCTAAAACAACTGCATCACTGCAAGTTGACACGGAGAGAGCACGCTCTCTCTCGCCCGCTATAATATGCTCAGTCAGCATATTGCAAAGTGAGCCATGGAGTGCCCAGTGCCCGTCCCCAGACCCCTGCAGCCTTACCAACGAGCTTCTGATAACAACAACGACCAGTACATTGCTTTCGCTTACAACTGTGTCTTCGACTGTAACAACGACAACTACAACAACAACGGCAGTCTCTCAGCGCCCGGTATTGTCAACTCAGTGCGACCAGCTCCCCCTCTCTAAACCGAAAAGTACAAAGAGCGCAAGCAGAACGCTAATACAGACCGGGCTCGATCGCTATGTCCAAATTAAAAGAAGGTTAAGCCCACAATCAACTAAAACAAGAGAGAACGTTACAGTCGAGCAAGCCCGACAGTGAAATACCCTGTACCCAGGTAAACTTCCGACACTGAGGTATATGCGCCCATAGCAGAAGCAAAAAGAAGAAGAAGAAGAGCGGACTTGTTGCTGCAGTATGGGGGGATTGCACTGGAGAGAATTAAACAACGGTAGATAATTATATATAAATTATATGTGCAAAGTTTGGTTTAGGAAGCATTTGAAATGTGGACGCTATTGACGCTATTGAAATTCTGTAGCGGGGGAAGGGGGGCGAAATTCCAAAAAATAAAATAAACTCGTCCTTTCTCGGACCTAGGAGAATCTGGATACCAACTTTGGTTATTCTAGCTTTTATAGTTTCTGAGATCCTCGCATTCATCCTGACGGACAGACGGACGGACATGTCTAGATCAATTTCTCTCGTCATGCTGATCAAGAATATATATACTTGGAGATGCTTCCTTCTGTATGTTACATACTTTGCACAAACCTAATATACTCTTTTTACCCTACGGGTACAGGGTATAAAAAAACCAACGCACCTAAAATAACAAAAACATCGGAAAACACTGTGCCAAATGAAGCGCTGAAAAACAATAGATTCGCGATTCTCAGCGAAGCCGAAGAAAATAGCGTTGAAACACCAAAGGCCGCCACCTATTTATGTGCGTCAAGCAAATTGTACAGATTTGGTTAAAAAACTCAGTAATAAAATTGGCGAAAACAAATTCTATGTTACGTCGATAAGAAGAGGTAACATCAATGAAATTAAAATACAAGTCAACGACGAAAAAAACTATGGATCAGTGGCCAAATACCTCAACGATGAAAAAATGAGTTACTACACGTACCAACTTAAAAGTAGCAAGGGACTATAGTACAAGTGGTCATCAAAGGAATAGAGCCAACCGTTCCAGTCGAAGAGATAAAAGATGCACTAAAAGATAAGGGTTTTGAAGTCAAAATGGCCATGAACATAATAAACAAAAATAAAATTCCCCAACCAATGTTCAAGGTAGAATTGACACCTGACTCCATGCCTAAAGGTAAAAACGAACTTCACCAAATTTATAAACTGCAATATCTACTGCACCGTAGAATTACAGTTGAGGAACCGCATAAGCGAAATGGACCTGTCCAATGCACAAACTGCCAGGAATATGGGCATACAAAAACCTATTGTACCCTACGTGCAGTCTGCGTTGCCTGCGGGGATGTACACCCCTCTGAGCCCTGCCCCGTAAATAAGGAGGACCCATCTGCGAAGAAATGTAGCAATTGTGGGGGAAACCATACTGCCAACTATAGAGGTTGCCCTGTGTACAAAGAGTTAAAAAGTCGCATAAGCCAACAAAAAACCGCAGCTCGGAACCCTGTCATTCGACAAAACTTGCCGTACATACCACCAACTACGATTCCATGAGTATCTTTTGCTCAGGAGTTAAGTAACACTAACGAGTCGTATGCCTCAGTTTCTAAACCGAAACTTCAACAAGCCACTGCAGGAACAATGCACCATCAGGTACCGCAACAGAGGCCAGAAAATGGCATTTCGCAGCACAAATGCGAGCTCTTGCAGTTCCTCGATCATCATGACATTGACGCCATGCTCATATCAGAGACTCACCTAATGAACAAAAATTATTTTCATCTCAATGGCTTCAACTTCTATGCGACAAACCACCCCGAAGGTAAGGCTCATGGAGGTACTGGCATTCTTATAAAGCATCGCATCAGACACTATCCGCTGCCATCATTTGCTACAACTTATTTACAGGCCACAACAATTCAAATCGAAACTCAAAGCGGCTACTTAAGAATATCCGCAGTATACTGCCCACCGCGCTTATCTGTTTCTGAAGCAGAATTTGTACATTTCTTCGACCTACTGGGTGACCGCTTCATAGCAGCTGGTGACTACAATGCCAAACACACCCATTGGGGACCCCGACTCATCACCCCGAAAGGAAGACAACTATATAACGCCATAATAACACCAAGAAACAAGCTTGATTTTATTTCTCCAGGCTGGCCTACATATTGGTCCACAGATCCAAAGAAGCAACCCGACTTGATAGATTTTGCTGTTACAAGAAGAGTGCCACAGGCTCAGATTCGTGTGGAGCACTTATCAGACCTATCATCGGATCACTCGCCGATTCTTCTGCACCTTTGTGACCATCCACAGTTATTGGAACGCCCACATTTTCTAACTTATAGAAAAACAGATTGCTTAAATACAGGAAGAACATAAGTTTCCATATTGATGACTGCCCTAGCATTTATTGTAAAAATGACATAGATACCTCAGTTGAAGCATTAGTGTCTGTAATGTCACTGGCGGCAAAACATTCGACTCCAATAACTACAGCTAATAAACTTCACAAATGCAGCGGTCTCCCCAGGCACGTTGAAGAGCTGCTTCGCAATAAGAGAAAACTTCGGCGGGAGTGGCAAGCCCACAGATCACATGAATCAAAGGAGCGGTTAAAAATAGTCAACCATCTACTACGCAAAGCCCTAGAAGATAAAAAACACCGAGCTCAAATGGATTATATGGAGCAACTCTCCCCAAACAGCAAACGATTCCCATTGTGGAAAGCTAAATCAGGCGTATGTCCACCAATCGAAAGTGAATCACCATTACGTACCCAAAAAGGAAAATGGGCTCGCAGCAACGAAGAGAAGGCAAATGTATTTGCCGCCCATTTAGAAAGAGTCTTCAAACCACATCCAGCAACAAATAGCTTTGTGCTCCCACCAACCAATTATCTTGAAGCTACCACGCCTATCGCATTTCAAGCAGAACAAGTTACAAGTGTTATTAAGGACCAAGTTTCAAAGCAAAAAAAAGCGCCGGGCCACGATTTAATTTCCCCCAAAATGATCATCGAATTGCCGAGCTGTGCAGTATATCTTCTCACCATTATTTTCAACAGCATGATGAAATGGGGATATTTTCCTCAACAATGGAGAAAATCGGTCATCAAAATGATCCATAAAGCTGGAAAGGACAAGTCTCAGTCATCATCATATAGACCTATCAGTCTCCTGCCGTGTCTATCAAAGATATTCGAAAAACTGATCCTGAATCGCATCAAACAGCACCTACACACCAACAGTGCAGTTTTCGCGAAAAACATGGAACCGTTGAACAAGTCAACCGAATAACCTCTGAGATACGAAATGCATTTGAAAAACGAGAGTATTGCTCCGCTGTTTTTCTGGATGTCGCCCAAGCCTTCGACCGCGTTTGGCTGGATGGCTTAATTCACAAAATCAAAATATTACTTCCACAGAACATCCATAAAATACTGGAGTCATACCTACAGCAAAGAAGTTTCGCAGTTAGATGCAAAGATTTCCTCTCCGAATACCATCCAATTGAAGCTGGCGTACCCCAAGGGAGCGTGCTTGGACCAACACTGTATATTATATACACAGCAGATATACCGACAAACAGTCGTACAACAATTTCGACATTTGCTGATGATAATGCCATCCTAAGTCGCTCCAAGTGCCCAAAAAGAGCTACAGAACTTTTATCATCTCACCTCGAGGCCATACAAGAATGGCTAGCAGACTGGCGCATACATGTAAACGAGCAAAAGTGCAAACATGTCACCTTTACCCTAAACAAACAAACCTGCCCTCCATTGTCGCTAAACAGCATCAATATTCCACAAGAAACCGAAGTATCATACCTTGGTGTCCATTTGGATAGACGGCTTACTTGGCGTGAGTACATCAAAAAGAAAACAGATCAACTAAAACTAAAAGCTATTAATCTACATTGGCCGTTCACGACTAAAACTGGAGTACAAAGTACTCTTGTACAATGCTGTTCTCAAACCAATTTGGACATATGGCTCTGAATTATGGGGAAACGCTTCCATTAGTAATTTAGAGTTAATCGAGAGAGCTCAATTGAGGATACTGAGAACCATCACTGGGGCAGTGATAATATCCGCGAAGATTTAAATGTGGGATCCGTTAAAGATGATATCGCCAAGGTGAAAGCAAAGTACCAGCTTAAGCTTCGGAACCATCCGAACAGACTTGCACAGAATTTAACTTGTCAGGCTAGCCATACACGACTCCGGCGAAGAGACCTCCCCACCCAGCAATAACAGTTAGGACCGTAAAGAAAAATATTTAATTGTAATTAATTAAATAACTGTATTAGATTAAGATTTTATTACTTATCGTAAGTCTCCTAGAGAGAAGATCCGATAAATA